CGCTGACTGAGAAGGTGCAGTTCTCAGGGAGGATGTTCCAGCTTGGGTTGGACTTGGTGCCATGCTGTTGTCAGGAGGGATGAGAAGAGGAAATTTTAGTGTTGAGATGAGAACAGGAAGGATAACTGATTTATTGCCCAAGGAAAAGGCCACTGCAACTAATTGCAGTCACCTGGAAGGCTGTCCTGGGAAAGGGAAGAGGTTGGTTCTCATGTTCATGCTGGTGTCTGAGACCAGCTGTCAGCATCACTTCTTCCCATCTTCATTCAACAAATATTCACTGTGATTTTAAAAAGAAAAACTGATGGACATCTTATTTTTCTGACAAATTGCTGGCCAGTGGTGAGGGTCCTGCCCATCTTAAAGAGAAGAGAGTCATAGATGAGGGGAAGTTGGGTCCCTATGCATCACCTTTTCCGGGTTGCATCTCGTGGTGACCTTGTGTTAAGGAATGCTTTGGTGGTCACTTCCTCCTTCTTTCCAGCAGATGGCAGCATGCTCTGAGCTGGGCCAGCAAATTCAGTGGGAAACTGAACCAAGGCTCTCAGAGAAAGGGGAGGGCTTTGTGAAACCACCAAGGTGCTGCGTTATTGGTGGGATTCTCCCAGCTGTTCTCCCCTTTATGATATGAAACAAAAGTCTCTGCATCAACCATCATTTATCGAGTCTATGGGGTACTGTGCGTGCCATCTTTCCTTGATTTACAGAAAAATGAAACCCACAGATGTTAAGGGACTTGCCCGAGGTCACAGAACTTGTAAACGGAGTTTCAGGTATTTGAGTTCATGGCCAGTGTTCTTTCTAGCATATGTAAATATTAATATGTAACATTAGTATGTAAAATATTATGTGTAAATATGTAAATGATTATATGTAAATGATTTTTAGAGAGCGTCTTCCCTCCGTTCTTTCCTTCAACAAATACATTGGGCTCCTCTATGTTCTAGGCCCCAACAGTCTCCAATTCAGATCTTTTCTATTATGGGTTCTTAAGGGTTTGACTCAGCTGCTTGGTAACTGACAGCCTCCTGGAACTCTTCTCTTCTGAAGTCTGACTGGCCCAGTGCAGCAGGCCCTGAGGGTCAGAGCTTCTCATCCTAAGGATTTGCGGTTACCAGGCCTTTTCTTGTTGCCTCCAACCACTTTCATGCTGGCAGTCTCTTGGCCTTCACCTTCCTTTGTCCTTCCTCACTCCCCAGCCCAGTGTCCTCTGAAACAGAAGTGTCCTCTCAGCAAGAAGGCAGCCAATGGGAAGGCCCTGGCCTGGGAATCTAGAGGCAGGAAAGTCAGTGATCAATCCTGAGAGAGGGGCGAGCCATCCAACCTCCCCTTGATTAAATAAAGGTGTGGAATTAGATGCTTTCAGAGACCCTTCATAGGTCTCTGCTGGAGATTGCGTTAGGCGTGGACATGTGACTCAGGCTGGCCAATGAGAGGAGAAGTCTGTTGGAGGATTTCTAGGACAGGTTTTTTCACTTTTAAAGAGTCATGGGGGTGGGGAGTATAGCTCAGTGGTAGAGCGCATGCTTAGCATGGACAAAGGCCTGGGTTCAGTCCCCAGTACCTCCATTTTAAGAAAAGAGTCGTGAGGAAAATACAATCCTGTTATCTCCACTGGACATTGCGTGTCTGGATATGACACCCAGAACTAAGGCGACCAACCTGTGACCATGGGGGCAGCTGGTCCGAGGACCAAGCCAGTGTGCCTCGGGTAACTGAGCAGAAAGATGGCACTGGGCCCTGGTCCTTACTGGGTTGTCACTGAGTGAACCAACACTGGATCTGCCCTATTTCAGGACTCCTTGCTATGTGAGGTAATTTATCTTTCCTAATTGCTGAGGTCATTTTGCTTGGGATTTCTGTTATTTGCAAATATGAGCTGCATAACTGATAATCACCTTAGCTTTATCAGAGTTGTGTGATTCCCAAAGTCTGAAGACCTTTTCCTAAGGAAGTCAAGGCATTTTTCATACATAAACTGGGAACTCGAATTCATCTCCTCATTCACTCAACAAATAGTTGTTCAGAACCTACAATCATATTCGTTAAATGTCTGTGACACACACACCCCAACCCCAAATCTCTGAAATCAGGATGTATCTAAAATTGATGGCATCTTGTGATTGCCGCTGGCTTTACGGCAGCCTTGATGACTTTGCCATTGCCTTTGCAGACATCAAAGTCCCAGCACCAAAATGTGCTGAGTGTATGTCGATTGGTGAAAGAAAAAAATCCCGAAATACTCATGGAGATGCTATTAACAGATAAGAATCAAATGGTTGTGGGGGAGGTGGTGAATCAGACATGTGTGGCGGTGCTTGAGATATAACCAGATCTGCACAATTGTAAAAAGGGCTTAAGAGCCCAGCACATGTGATGCTTAGTTCTTTTATGGATTCTTTAGAGAAATGCTGCATCACCAACACTTGTGACGCCTCAGAGGATGGCAGTGTGAAAAGAGATGGGTATCGTCACTCACAGTCCAAGAGAAAGGAGTCAGATTTGGAATGAGAAGTTCTGCAAATACCTTAGCTCCATCATTTCACTTCTGTTTCACATTTTATTATGCACAAGAGTGATTTATGATGAAAATCCATGACTAATCCAGTCTAAAAGAGCTCTTTCAATAAGTGTAAAATAAAAATGCTGAGTGAAAGCAATGTCATAGTTTAATTGACAACATCTTTTATTTCTCATTGGCACATAAACTAATGATGTGCCTTATATTTAATGATGTTGTAAGTTGGATGACATGTACTATGTGTCAAGCCCTACTGTGGTGCTGGGGAGATGACAGTGAACAAGACAAAACCCTGGTTGTTTGTGCAGGTTGACTGTGGAGAATCCCAGATATGTCATTCAGGAAACTGTATGACAGTCACTTTTTCTGCTGTCAACCCAAGGCTTCCAAAGTTGCCCTGGGGTCATAGTCTTCTGCCATCCAGAAGGATTCTCCTCCTTTTCATTGTGCCTGGAAGTGCCCCCCCCAACCCCAGCACCTCTGTCCTCATTTAATTGGCTGAAAGTGGCCCATCCCCCTGCAGGGGAGTCTGGGAAATGTAGTCTGGCTGAGCATCAGGAAAAAGGTGAATGTGGTCTTTACGCCACACTGTACCCCACACT